CCACAGACTGTACTGTGCATCAGATGACAGGTGACAAAGGTAACCAGGATGGCACACGATAATTTAGGCAACCAGTTGTTGATCATAAACCATATAACATGAACTTTATATATAACTTTTGATCTCACAATAATCCCACACATTAGGTCTGGTCTCCTCTTTACAACAAGGGAAAATAAGACTCAGTGAGTTGAAATAAGGTCCACAGAGATAGTAAATGCACAGAGTGGGATTTCAACCATAGGTTGTCAAGAGATCATWCCCAGAATGCTCCATTCTACTTGTACCATTCCAGAAGGGCCTTCAAGTAGGTAAGGAAAATATGACTTCACAGGGATAAGGACAAGGAGAAAAATATACAGTAATTAATAATTCATAAGAAATTATTGTAGCACATGCTTGTAATCCCAGCAGCCAAGGAGGCTAAGGCAGGAGGATCGTGAGTTCAAAGCCAGCCTCAACGACTCAGTGAAACCCTAACCAACTCAGTGAGAACTTCCCTCTCTTCCCTCTAAGATAAAATATTTTAAAAAGGGCCAGGGATGTGACAAGTAGTTAAGCAACCCTGAGTTTAATCCCTGACACAAAAATTCTAAAAAAGGAAAAAAGAAAGAAATTACAGCATACACTTATACTGTCTCATTTCCTTGATAATACTTCAACATAGATAATTGTGTATATATGTATAACATTAATATATATATATATATATATATATATATGGATATAAATGTTAGTTTAGCCCTGAAGTGTTTATATATACAGTTAAAATAAACTTTCAGACACAAATCAGGCATCCAATTGAGCATCCTGAATCCAAAAATCTGAACCTCCAAAATCTAAAACCTTTTGAATGCCAATAGGATGCCAAAAGTGGAAAATTCCACACCATTATGTTAAATTTTTCATACAGAAAATTACTTAAAATATTGCATGAATTATCTTTAGACTATATGCATAAAGCTCATGTTACAGTTTGGATGCAGGGTGTCTCCCAAAAGCTCCAGTGTTAATTCAGGGATGTTCAGAGGTGAAGTGGTTGACTATGAGAGCTRTGACCTCATCAGTCCACCSTAGTTTGAATGGACTGATTGGGAGGTAACTGTACACAGATGGGGCATGGTTGGAGAGGGGGTCCCTGGGGGCTGCCCTGGAAGGATTCACTCTCCCTGTAGCCCCTTCCTCCCCTCCTGCTGTCTACTTCCTGACCCAGCCATGAACTGAACAAGACTCCTTKGCTGGGCCCTTCATCCATATTTGCTTTATCTAGGGCCCAGAGAAAGCATTCAACTGACTGGAGACTGAACATCTGAAATAGCCCCAAATACACTTTTCCTCCTCTAAATTGTTCTTGTCAGATATTTCAGTCACAGAAACAAACAAAAAAACTAACACAACTACAGAGCCATACTATCAACCCTTCTCAAGTATATTTGAAGCATAAATTAGTTTCATGTTTAGATTTGCTTCCCCAAACTTTACATATATCATTATATATACAAATATTCTAAAATCCGGAAAAATTCGAAATCAAAAACTTCTGATCCCAAGCATTTCAGATAAGGAACATTCACCTTGTAGAAGTACATTCTACACTATCACATCATAATATGCTTTAAATAATTGGTTAACTGGCTTTAGGAGATGCAAGGGGGGAAAATGTCAAAAAGAGCATTAGTGAAAATACGGAGATTACTCTCAAACTTACAGACAGGCCGCTGCTCAGAGAACTCAAGATACCAGCAATCATTTAATCAGAACTCTTAATATATAGAAACTCTAGCTGTCACTCAATATCAGAATTAATAAATTTTTTGTACAATAGGTAACTAACACTATTGATGTATCTATATTACATATCAGCCCAAGCAGGGAAATAGTCAAACACATTCATATTTGTACATCTAGGAACAAGGCTATTCATCCTAAGCAGGATGAATAAATAAAGACTATAATAAATAGTCYCATGTCAATTCAAAGCTTTCTGTTATCAGAGCTTTTGGGGATTTGGGCATTGTAGATAAGATATTGTGGGCCTGTAATTGTGAATGGCCAAATTATTTAGACCAACATCAATTCCTATAAAACATTTCCCTTAAAGATGATATTAAGCTTTACACACAATGCTCTGCTAACATTACTCCTTGTGTAAGTATAATCACCCTTCACCCCTCCAGAATCAGACCGACAATGATGTATATTCAGAATATGGCTGGGAGGAGATAAGAAGAGAGACTTGGCAAAAGGCCTCTCAGAGGCCATTAGACTGGGCACAATGGCCACCTAATAGACAGTGTTACATTATTCATAGAAGAGGCCCCCATTTCTTTAATCTGATCTGGTTTCTAAACTCAACCCAGATAAGAACCAGTAAGCCAAATCACACACAGCTCTGAGAGGCAGGTACACAAAACAGTCACCAGCAATCACTGACATTCTGATAACAAAGAAGAAAAATGAAAGTCTTGCTAAAGATGAGATGAGCCTCATGGAACAAGCAAAAAGGCTTGAATCCAATTCCTGCTCTGCCTGTAGGAGCTGTGTGAGCTGCGGTAATCTTTACCTTCTCTGAGCTTCAGTTAATTCACCAACAAAACACAGATGAAAATGCTTGCCTGCCCCCTATGGTTACTGTGAGGATCAAAGGAAAAAAAAATATATGAAGAGCTGAGCAGAGTGCCTGATGATGAGAATGCACACAATAAAATTTACAAACTAAAAGTAAAGCACACAATCACACAAAGCATAGCAACCTGAATAAATTTACTACCAAAGCTTCAGAACCCAGCAAAGAAGGTATTATCACCTTTCACTTGAGGAAAAATACCATTTTGGTTGTTCTAGGTGAACCTGAGCATGCCGCTTAACTTTTCTGAGTGAGAGAGGGAGATCAGACCACATAGTCTCAAAGGAGGCGAGAAATGGTTCTTGCCATGGGGGAGGAGGGACAGAAAAAATGCCCTGTTTTTATGTATGTAAAGCACAACTATCCAGTACAGATATGGACACACGTGATACCACACTATTGAAATTTCATAAGGGGCTGGGCTCTAAGAAGGCGTCTTAGAGAAGACATAATGAGAAAGATTGAGAAACACAGGTTAGATAAACTGTAGGCTCACGTACAGCTGCTAAAGTTCCTTAGTTCTCTCTCTGCAACAACAATGTTAAAAATTTCAAAGTGTTTTCTATGCCAAATATGATCTTTCCACACTTGATATAATGAAATTTTAAAAAATAATAAAATCAAGAGTTTGAAAGAAGTTTAATAGAAGTTCTCATACTTTAAGAAGGAAAAATTTATATATTCCAAAAAAGATGTCCATTTAAAACAATTAATAATATAAATATTATTGCTTAAAACAGAAAACTCCGAATATATAGAAACCCTAGCTGTCACTCATGGGGATCCTGTGAGCCACGGTTTTTGTTGTTATTTTTCTGACTTTATAATTAATAACATATCTGAATCTTGTCCAAATATTAATAAAAGTGCTTATTTCCCCCACAAAAAAATTGCAAATAGATACTGAGCAAGGACGATTTCTTGTAACAATGATAAACTTGGAAAATGTGGTTGTCTCTGCTATGATAAATGAAAGATCACCTTGGAATATAATTCATTTTTAATTGCTTCTTCCATCAAATCTCACTACTGCTGTAGGCTGTCTTAAAATATTTACAAAGTAAAAGCCAAAAAAAAAAAAAGAAAGAAAAAGAACTGGAGGTACTAAATAAAGCAGGCCACTCATTCCTAAGTGATCAATTTTTTTTCTGGTATTGTTTAAAACATAAACAAAGTCATAACTCTTTGCACATGGAATTTTTGGAAAAACATAGATGAAATACGTTTAGGGATTATTTCAGGGTTCAAGCTGTTTTTAACTCACCTGCTATCCCTGCCTCAGTTATGGGATCCTAACTCTATCCAAATAATCTGTTACCATAAAAGAGAAAAATTATGCTAACATGCTAGGAAGATCAAAATTACAGTCACTCTCCTTTAACCTTTTTGAAGCTCCAGTCTCGTGTCCCCCAGTGTCCTACCTATGTCCAGCAACACATTCAAGCTCCTGTGCTTCCCTCATAATTCTCTTCTGGAGTTTACAGAACTGCTTGAAAGATTCTAACTGAAAACAACATTCAAGAAATGCATAAAAATTCCTCCATGTTGAACTTTAATAAATGCTTGACCATAGTTTATTACCAGGAATATATATCATAAAGTGTTCTGATCACTATCAATTTTATTCACTGCAAAATAAATGTGATTTGATATCAAATTAATTTTCAGGAAGTTGCATTTAAATAGATAAAGACRTTGGAGAAATCACGGGTTCACCTAGACACAGACATTCCCAGCACCGTGCATAAAGTCAACACTCTATACTGATGAATATAAATTTGCATCTTGAAGATATGCTAACTACTGTTTACAGCTCCTCACATCCTAGATGTTCAAGTGACAGGAAAATCTCTCTTCTAAAAACATATGCTATTTCAGGCCATTCCAAATATACTGACTAGTCAGTAACCAGAAAGAAAAGATAATAAGTTAATTRAAGTCCTAAAGTCACATAAATCATTTCAGAAGTCCAGTGTTGAATCCATGGCATCTGATCTTCAACTGAGAAGACCCAGACAAATACTATACCATTGTAATTATTGTTACCCTGAGGCATCTGTAAATATCTGTTACTTACCAGAGTACTAGTGTTTGAGATAATACTGAGAGAAATCAGAATAATCATTGGCAAGATTTAGGCTTATTCAAGGGAAAACAGCATTATAGAAATTCAACTAGATATTGAGTAAATATACATTCTGGACAAAGTAGGCATGATAATACCAACTCAGCATATCACACTATAAAAATAAAAGTAATAATGAAATGTACTTCTAGTAGCTACAAATTTGGGGGCTGTTTCTATGAGAAAACCAAAAGAAGTCAAATTCTCAATTTAACATTATGCATTCAATTGCCAGGGTCATAGAATTACCTTTGCTTTAGATTGATCCATGATGTTTTCAGATACTCAGTAGTTTCCTTCACATTCCTTGTGTCATCACTACCATATTCTTCCAGCAGTTTCTGCAGGACATTATCAAATGCCATGATGACACCATCGCCAGGACCCAGTTCTTGAAGCAACATCTAAGGTGTAAGTTCAAGTATAATTGTTAGAACTGGTCATTTAGCAATTACCATTACCCAAACACTGCTTCCAAGGGTGTTTTAACATGTGTGAGACCCAGACATCACAAGAAGAAAACAAATTAGGGGACAAACTCTTGCATGTAGGCTTAAACCAAAAGAATTCTAGAAATGGAAAATGTCTTAAGAAATCAGGTATGTGGCAGATGATATTGATTATATTTTCCTCTCTGAGATATTTTACTTCCTCAAACCATCTGTCCCTCTCATGCCTTCTGCTAAACATCTAAATCTTACAGGAATGTGCATCATATAGGAATTGAACACACACAGAGTTCCTCTGTATGTGCTTGGAGAAACAGCAAGAACCAACAATGGTGGAATTCTTCTGCCTCTTGCCCCTGGATCGCTGCACGTGTTTACAAAGTTAATTGCTTGGATAGATTAAGCAGTGAGCAAGGTTTACAGAGAATCTGCCTGGGCAGCTAAACTGAGACTGAGTACAACCACAGGCAATGGTATCTTGACACTTTCTGTCCCTGAAAGTTTCTGAAACAAGAATCTCCACATGAAATCTGAGTAACAACTATGGTCCTCTAAGGATTTTTGTAGCAACTGGAAGAAAAATCCAGCCTAGAGAAATGAACCACACTGTTAATTAGAGAAGCAAACAGACCTCCCTTGGTATCTGTGGAAAAGTAGTTCCAAGAGCCTTCCCCTCCCATGGAYATCAAAATTCACAGAGATGCTCAAGTCCTTGATATAAAATGGTGCAGTATTTGCACAAAATCTATGCATATCCTCCTGYACACTTTACTTGTATTCCCTAATACCATTTAAATGCTATATAAATAATTGTTATACTGCATTGTTTATGGAATAATTACAAGGGCTTTTTAAAAACTTTTTTACATGTTCAATACAGATGCAACCATCACAGATCTAACTACAGAGCATACAATCCCTGGTTGATTGAATCTGTGGATACTAATCACACAGACACAAAGAGCCAACTGTGTTCCAAATAGGATGACTGAATCATGGGTATTATTTTTTACTGTATTTCTCTACTTAAGGTGCAGGGCTTTGCTATTACTTTTGAATCGTTTGATAGAAATGATCAGCAGGTGTCATAAACACAGAAAATGATTCAGAAACCAATCCCCCTGGCCACTTGCTTTTTAAATTGTAACCATGGAAAGTCTACACTTGTGAAGAATAAAAACATACTTCCAGGTTTTAGATTGTGTTTCTCACACAGTCTTTATTATTACATTCTTCATCAATGTGCACTTTCACCTGAAGTTACCTGAAGGGCAAATAAAACGTTCCACCAAAATATAACCTCACAGCTAATACATCCTCCAACTCAAGAATATTTTCTGTTATTGTAAGAAATAATTCAAAATAACATTTTAAAAATACAATAAGTATTCACTATTATCAACTCTAATCAAACTGATCAACAGTAGAACCTACATATTGATAAGTGTGGATATAAATGTATTAAAAGAAACTAAACTTACTTATTAATTGACTTGCTCACYACAGTAGCACTCAAATCAAAGCCTCAAGAAATTTTTACAAATACAAATAAGCTCTGGGGTAGGCAAGAAAGAAACTAAAATGAGGATTCTGGGATCCTATAAAATGTTCTTTTTCTAGATGTTGGTTCATGAGGATTTTTCATTAGCCAAAAAAAAAAAAAAAAAAATCTATTTGTTAGGCTTCCAGAAATTATTCAGAAAAACTTCCTGATCAAATGCTTCATATAAATTCAATATATATTCTAAGAACTTAGGAAAGCATCAAGACGGGCTCCTAAGAAAAATAGAAAAAGCAAGTCTAAGGAAATGGCACTGCTGAGCAATAGCCAATGAGTCTTACTTGATGATCAGAGATCTGTTTGGAGAGCGGATCCCTCCGGGCTTGCTGGAGCATGTAGAGTCGAGCCTCATATTTTCTCATCAGTTCCTCCGTCTCCTCCCTGTGGTCAGCCCACTGAAGACTGTCCACAATCATGTCCTCCAGCTGCTGCCGACGCAGATCCACCCCATGCTGGGTGCTGTCCCACTGGTTCTTTACCTTTTCCACTAGGGGAAACAGATAAGGAGTAGTCCCCAAAATTAACTATCAGGAAAGGGAAAAAACAACTGATCCCTGATTGATCATAAAAAGTCTATGATAGAAAAGAAAAAGAGGGCAATTGACAAAGACATTTGAAAGGAACTATAATATATGTCAGACACTATACTATATATATTTATGTATATATAGTGTGTGTATATATATACATAAATATTTCTTACTATTAATCATATATGTGCATGTGTGTATATATCTTATTTTTTAAAAATCTTTATTTTATTTATTTATTTTTTTTWAAAATGTGGTGCTAAGGCTCGAACTCAGCGCCTCACACATGCTAGAACACTCTACAACTGAGCCCCAGCCCCAGCCCCATATTTCTTATTTTTAAATGAGTCAGGGTCTTGCTATGGTGCTGAGGCTGGCATCAAACTTGCAATCTTCCTTTCTCGGCATCCTGAGTTGCTAGGAGTACAGGCATGTGCCACCATGACTGTATTTTAATAGAAATATTTCTGAAACCATTCTTGAAGAAAAATTTTGGATTAAACTCAACTTGAAGTGCACCAAAACATCTCACAATAATCATATCTACTAGTATTAGCAGATAAAGCAAAAAAGGGAAGCAGAAGAAGAAAAAAATGCCCTTTTTAATGTTGTATTTACAGAACCCAGTTTGATAAGGTAGAGTTTAGCAGTACATTAAGACACAGATATAGTTACTTGATACCCTCAAAAGAGATTTTAAAAGAGAACAAACTATTTAAGAACATTTTTCACTTTTTTTCTTTTATTGTAGCATGAAACCTGTTTGGGTGGAGTATTGAGAAATGAGTATGGGGGTATTCTACCACTAAGCTACATTGCAGACCTGTTTTTATATTTATTTTGTGATAGGATCTTGCTAAATTGCTGAGGTGGGCCTCAAATTTGCAATCCTCCTGCCTTAGCAGCCCAAGGAGTTGGGATTACAGGTGTGCACCACTGTGGCAGGCCAAGAAAGTAAATATTCTTATACTTTCAAGTTCAAGAGAAACACTAAAAGTAAAGAAGATTCAAGTTCTTTGTACCTAGGAACCTTCAACATAAAATTCAATACCGGCTCTTTACCTCCCATCCTTTGAGTTATTTCTACTCCTCTTTCTCGTGTTCTCCCTTTCTCTCTCTCCCTGTCCTCTCCTCTCCTCTCTTCTCCTCTTCTCTCCTTTCCTGTCCTCTCCTCTGATGCCATCTCCTATGCTCCTCTCTGTTCTTTTTAACATGGAGTTATGAAACAAGAACTCTAAAGACATTTAAGCTTTTGATTACTGTCTTCAGGGGCAGTTCATGATCATGAACTAAAATACCAGTAAACAGCAGCTCTGAATACCAGAAACAACTCACAGGCAATAGGAAAGAGAAGGTTCAAACAAACAGCTAGATGATGCTTGACAGACCACCTGAAAGACTATAGCTTTTAAGTACCCGCCCCAAGAAGAACCTAACTACAAGATAGCATTCCGGCTGAGTTATAAAGAACATTCTGGTAAAATTCTTGGAATTGTATAGGGCTACAACAAACCATAAAACCTGTCAACTTGAGGTTGTTCAGAAGGCCAAAAGTTAGACTTATGTGTCATAATTATAAGAAATTGCTCAATAAGATTATCTTTTTTTTAATGCTGCCTTCATAGTTTAAAAAATGTTAAAGTTTTTAACATAAGGAAAGGGAAGCAAATCTATCATGATGTTCTCCTTCTCCATAAGAAAATTACATAAAGTACTTGTGACCAATTCTATTACTAATAGAATATTTTAATACTGAACAAAACATAAGACATCACAGGTTTACCATGAAAAACAAGCAAATTATTTTATTCATTGTAAGTGCTAAACACAGGCTCCTTGTGATGGTACACTCCAGCTGAGGAGGGTGATTTATATAGTGAGTAGCTATGAAGATTACATAGCCTACACACACACACACACACACAGAGAGAGAGAGAGAGAGAGAGAGAGAGAGAGAGAGAGAGAAAGAAAATAAAAGAAGGTGCTCAATGGGAAAGGGAAGACATTCAGGAGAAGGATAAAATCAACCTTAAAATAAGTTTTGATAAAGAGGTAACCGAAGAAAACATCAGAGATAGTAAAGCAAACCAGAGATGGCTTTGTCAACAGCGTRGTGTCATTAACAGAGGGGGTCCCTGCCAGGGGAGGACAAATGGGACCATCCACAGCCCCCGCAACATGCAGAATCAATCATCCAACACAGAGACGGAGAAGGAAGGAAACYAGCCCATATCATCACACACCCAAATTCTTTGCTAACTCATCTCCACAGTAACCTTGTTGCTACCACATTTATTTTGAATTCAAAACACACACACAGGTGCTAATGCAAATAGCTGCCTTTCTCCCCTTCAGAAAAAATTAGACTTTCTTCTTCCAGTTTACATTCTGCCACATATATTTATTTATTAAGTACCTGATTTGAACTGGGCCCTGCAGGCGGCCCAAGAGCTATAAAGGTGAATATTCATTCTCTAGAAGGGAGAGAGAATTAAAGTAGCTCTGAGATCTACAGTTAKGAGGAATAAGGCCACAGCAGGAACTAAAGCTGTAAAACAAGAATARTGTGGCAGAGACTTCACAAAGGGGTGACATTTTAGCAACTGAGTAAAATTTCACCCGGAGAAAAAAGGCCAGAAGGAAAAAAAATAACCTGAATAAAGGGAAGAAGACCAGGAAATGTCGGGACATTTGAAAGAGTATATATAGTACAGAATGCTATAGASGGAGAGGTGACAGACGAGGAGACTGTGACAATCCCCAAACGTCTAGACCTTGTTCTGTATGCCACGCAAATTCAAGACGCTTTGGAACTCAAATGTGAACTCCAAAGGAGGATCTCCGTTGGTGTTTTGTATGTTCCCTTTTTTTGTTGCTTAATTTTGTTTTGAAGAAAGAACCTCCAAAACTAGTGACAGTCACACAGGCACGCAGCAGTTGCTCAACAGACATCTGTGCAATGAGTTTGAAGTGAGCTCAAGGACACAYCAACACCCAGTTTTAGTGAATAAAGTACAACTAAAGAACAGATTTTCATTCCTTTAGGTTTCTCAGACTTCTGTTGTTTTGATTTCTTTAAAAGAAATCCTAACTGCAGKATGTGGTGGCACAAACCTAAGGCAGGAGGATCCCAAGTTCAAGGCCAGCCTGGAAAACTTAGAGACACCTTGCCTCAAAATAAAAATTAAAAAAGGTMTGGGGATGAGGCTCAGTGGTGAGCCCCAGAATAAGTCCCTAAAACCATCTTAAAAAAAAAAAAAAAACACTTATGAAAAAAAAGTCCAATGTGTAATTGCTTAAAACTAATATTAATACATTGAAGAATTATAAGGGAATTGTGACAATGTTCACAAAAAGTTAAAAAAAGGAGGTWTATTTATTTTTCATAAATAAAAAGTAATAAACACCAAGTAATATTAACTTCTATTTGAAGAATCTTTGAAAATGTGTGTGTGAAAGATAGAGAGAGACTTGTTTTCAGGAAAAGTGATGATGATATGCAATTTTTTTAGAAACTTACATTTTTCTGTGATTGCTGTTCTCACATCTGAACTGGAAGCTTTGTTTTTCAAGTTCTGTGCCAACGTGAAAACATAATCCAGCTGAGGATGGCGCTGTTCTAAGTCAGCTTTTGTGATCTGTTAAGAGAAATGATTATTAAGATACATTAACAAGCGATACGTTGAAAACAGTAACTAAGCAAACCAGTTTGGTGATGTCAAAGTTGTCACAGTCATCCTTTGCCTCCGCTAAGGCAGGCATCAGCAATGAGGCAGAGGAAGAGTCAGAGATCTCGGGTTCAAATTTCAGCTCTTCCACTAACCACCTGGTGCCTTACTTCTGTGTGCCCTAGCTTTCACACACACACACACACACACACACACACACACACACACACACAATAAGATAGTGACAATTAAGATGTATCAAGTCTGAGCAGACTAAGAAAATCCCTGTAAAGAACATGAGCAGTTAGTGCTGCTGATGCCTGGTGCACCTCTTCTGCACCAGACATGTGTACACACAGCATCACCTGTGGGATGCGGAAACATTATTAGAAAAGTGCTAATCACAATAATTTTAAGTTAAATCATCTTAGACGGGAAAACCGGTATTCCTCGATGGACTTGTTGCTGATAAATCCGGACAAAAAGCTAATGAATTCAGAAAGTGTGGTTTAATTTAAAAAAAAGTACAAATAGTGTGACAAGATTTTCCTGGGCTTTTCACTTTACGAATCCACTTGCTTTATGGACTTCAACCTCTTCTACAGTGACAAATGTTATTTCTAAGTGGATTACTAACAACTTCCGATCCTGGATCCCAGACTAGGTTTCCATGAATGTTGTTCACTTTCTTCTCRACAACATAAGGACCCCTCAACACAACAAATCCAAAACCACTTCYCTCAGACCTTCATTCACACCCATTTCTCCTACTTCTTATTTCTGCTAATTGTCACACGTCCTCTCAGCCCCTCGGCAAGGGCTCTTTCCCTTGGTTTAAGCATCTCTTGCCTCTAATCCATCCTCATCCTCTTACTGAAGCAAAGCATCGTTATCACCAGTTCCCAGCTGCAATTCAGAAAAGAAAAGGCAGCGGGGGAAAGATGTGTGCCAACTGCTTTCACAGGAAAAGTCTACAGGGCTCTAACAGCCTKCGAGCTCCTCCACCAAGGGAACTGGAGCTGCCTGTCCCACCGCACCCCCCACAGTGTYTCCTTCTTGCACAAATGTTGACGCAAAGGCTCCTCACTCCCAACACATGCCTCCTGTCTTTCCCTATCCTGGAAGGTCACTGACATTATCTTCAGAAGTGAAAATCCCACTGCCTGCCTTCCAGCACTTGCAGAAGCTACCCTCTGCTCACCCTGGCTCCCCTAACAGGTGGCCTGCTCCTGCTCTGGGACTTTTTATTAGACTTTGTCATTGTAGCTTTTCTCTGGAGGGTTACTCAGTGCCCCTGACTCTTTCAGTTGGGGCTTATTAAGGACGTGGGACTAAAACAGCACCTACCTCAAAGGACTGTGGGAGAAGCAAATAAGATCAATGTAAAAGGCTTAGAAAAATGCCCAGCACACACTGAGCATTTAGCAATAGTTGTTTTATTATAAATTCCCTATTTCTTTTCTTTTCTTTCTTTTCCTTCCTTCCTTCCTTCCTTCCTTCCTTCCTTCCTTCCTTCCTTCCTTCCTTCCTTCTTTCCTTCCTTCCTTCCTTCCTTCTTTAATTTGGGTACCAGGGATGGAACCCAGGGGCACTTAACCACTGAGCCACGTCCCCAAATGTGATATAATCTATCACTAGGTCTTTAAATTTGCTTCCTTAAAACAATCTTTATATGAAAATAATAGACCCAGCMCTTTTTTATATTTTATTTCAAGACAGGGTCTCACTGAGTGGCTTAGGGCCTCGCTAAGCTGCTGAGGCTGGCTTTGAACGCACAATCCTCCTGGCCTCAGCCTCACAAGCCACTGGAATTTCAGGTGTGTGCCACCACACCTGACTACATTCCCTATTTCTATCTAAAAGAGTCTTTTCAGTATTCCTTTAAAACACACAGCTCAGAGTCTAGCACACTTAATATGGAAATAGATTTTTACATACTGATATTAGATGGTATATGTACAATAATAAAACTGTGGTTAGGATACTTATTTCTAAAGTCAGAAATGAAATGAGCTCATTATGAAAAATGAGCTGAAATAGAGCCCTGGGAAATTATCCTACATCACACCGGGCATTAAATGGAACACCAGCTTGCATTTATACCAACATGCCTAGCTTCGTGATATCAGTTTTAGAGTTTAAAAATACACTGAGTCTTTAGATGAAGTCTGAAAAGCTTCATTCTTTGCAGTTAGTCCGGGGTGGCTGTTTGGCAGATAATGTTTTGTTTTTTTTTTTTTTTTTTTTTAAACCTCATTCTTTCAGAGTTGAGGATAAACAAAGGGGGCCCAAGCAGATCTGGTAGAACCTGGGTCATGGTACCACCCCCACAAGCCTTTCCACCATGCACCTACTTTCATTCGGGAAACAGTCCTATTGATCTCTTCCACATCCCCAACAGTGACGATGTTGGACTTCAGCATCTGGTCAATCAATACCAGCCAGTCAGCTAGTTCTGTTATGGTTTTATCCAGATCAGCAGGAACCGAGATTTCTGAGGTACGCTGAGGGTGAACGGGCATGTCTGATGCAGAGGATACTAGCGCCACCTTTTGGACACTAGGGTGAGCTGGAAAAAACATGTAGCAAAGTAAGAATAAGGATAAAAGAATAAGAATAAAAATAAGAATAAAAATTAAAATAAGGATATTTTTAATATGGTAGTATAATAATGACAGGCATATGTATATGTGTATTCAAGTAAAATTTAGTTTAAATTAAAAAATTTTTAAGAAGCTTTTACTTTTTCATATTGAAACRGCTATGGCATAACCTGAAATAAGCACATCTTTGTAGTTACTTGGCCATCAAGCCAATTAAAGCATCTCACAAAGTCCAAAGCCAGCAATAATAACTCAAAGGATATCAACACACATTATGAGAGAAAACAAATAAATAATACARCAACTGGGGGAAAACTAGGAGTATTATTTTATTGGGTCAAGATGTTTTGCTTAATTACAAAGCAAATATATGTGTTACTTTCTCTTCTCTTTGCATTTAACTTTATGACATGAGGATATTTCATTTTTTATTAATGTGAATACCTATGTAATAATGCACATTTATATTCCCTAATTTTTGCTTAGACACATACATTGCTCCTTAAATGTTTTCTTTAAAAAAGAACTTATAAGATATATCTTTTTGCATAGAGTATATTCCACATTTTTAATCACTACCTTAGCAGAGATTTCCCAAAGTAKCGATACTGGATCAGAAAATATTTTTAAAGGCATGTGTTTAATACTCATTGCCAAATGGCTTTACTTAAAAGTTGGAAATTTACATTTCCTACAGCAGCATGTGGATCTGGTCAATATCCCACATCTACATGACAGGCATCTATTTCCATGGATAAACACACATTTGTCACCACTGTTCTTAGATAATGGATTTTATTGCTAGTAATAGTAAATATTTTTCATGCTTACTAGCCAAATGTGATATAATTTATCACTAGGTTTTTTAATTTGCTTCCTTATCAATCTGCATGAACAATATTTATATGGAAATGATAAACACTTGCCAAATCATTGAAAAAGATGCTTCTGAGGACCTTTTAAAATGTATTGTGRGAGGTTTTTTTTCTCCATTTTTCTTAACATACAGATATTAACAAACTTGAGATAATAAAAGTCATATATCTTTCTTGGGGGATCATTATCCCAAGAGTTTGAAAGTTAGAAACTCTTGTCTTCTCCAACAATTTGATAAATATTTTCTTTCGTTTTTGGTTTTCGTTTTTTGTTTTGGGGGAGGGTGAAGGGCATTAAATACTGTTTTTCTTTGGTCTCTAATATGAGGTAGTTAAATGAATGATTAAATCTACCTGGAACCTACTGTAGCATGTGATATATTGAATGAGGTTTAAATAATATTCTAAAAAATACAAAGTATAAATTCAGTACAATTCTAATCAATATACCAACAGTTTTGAGCATAACTTGGCAAAATCACAGATACAAAATCTTGGTTGAAAAATTAATACAAAGAAAAGTACCAAAAAGTGTTTAAAGCAAATATCTCTGTAAGAGGGATGAGCCCTACCACCTATTTAGCTGTTGTCCTTAAATAATGACAATTATCTCCCTGTATGATGAACTCACACATTCTAACAAACCAATGGAAGAGAAGAGCCACGGAGTATAGGTGGCACCAAATTTGCCCCTGGCAGTGACCACATCATCAATCAGTGTGGAAGAATATATCATTTAATAAATGATGYTGTCAAAGCAATGACCAATGGCTGGAGTGAGGAAATGATGGATAGATTTCAACCTCACATGTATCATAGGAAAATTAATTCTTGGTAGATGAAGGGCATAAATAAGGAAACCAAAATTGTGAGCTAATGGAATAAAGAATATCTTTATGACTTAAAACACAAAAACAGTAAATTATTAATAAACCCTGAGTGTTTAACAATTCTGAAAAGAGCACTATAGAGATTTTAAAAATCTAAAAGATAAAGGGAGACGGGATTGACTGTGCACATTGAAGACAAAGAATTAGTAACCAAATGCTTTTTATAAAACCGAAAAAGTCAACAACTGACAAAAAGGGAAAGAAAACACTTAACCTGAATAAAGAAAAGTTCAACTTTATGAGTAACTGAATAATCCAAATCTGCCCACGCAATTCAGGGGTTGGCAAAGTAGCATCTGGGAAGCCCAGGCTTCCTGGCGACCCTTCTAAGGGGCTGGCACACTTAAACTGTCATCATCATCATGCATTCTTTGCCCTTTTTTTGCCCCTTCTCCCAAGAGCAGAGCAGTGCTTCACCAAGGCTACATAACAGGTGGCATCACAACAGACCAAATGCAGAAGCAGACAGGAGAACCCAGTTGTCTTCCACGGAGTCAGATATTGAAAAGATCTTGAAGATGTAAAGCAATGTCACTTTCCTAATCTCCTGTTTACTTGGAAAAGTAGTTTCTTATATTAACATTTTCTAAAAAAAATGGTATTTTTATTATATTATGGTTTTATTTGTGTTATTCTTAAACTAATAAATCATTTTGAAACTTGTTTATAACTAGCTAAATATGATAGAGAGAACTCAGATAAAGAAAAGTTCTTTGTGGGTCCTCTGCCCAATCTTCACTGTAGCTTTCTTCGTTGTTGTTGTTGTTTTTTTTTTAAATCATTCTTCAAATCATCAAATACCTATTAATAACCTATAAGATTCAAGGCACTTTGAAGATGCTATGAATATAAAAGTGTGAAAGACACAGTCCCTGCCCTCTTGGAACTTGCACTCTGGAGCAGGACACTGATATATACACCATGAAGCAAAATGCATGCAAAAGATAGAGTTAGGATGTAGTTGGGATGTGATAGGCAGGAAAAGGCCTATTCAAGAAGATCTTGGTCGAAGAACTGGATGAAGTGAGTCTGAAACATGCAAGTATCTGAGGGAAGGACTTTGGAGAAGAAGAAGAAGAAACAGCAGACACAAAACCCAGAGATGAGAATGTCCTTGGCATGTTTGAAACAGCGAGACCACCAGAGGGTCTGAAGCAGAATGAACAAAGGGATAAGAAATGTGATTAAGGATAGCCAGTAGGCAAATCAGACATGATAAGACTTTGGAACTCACTATGTGGACAGGACTTATTGAAAGATGGGAAACAAAGGAGGGAACAGAATCAGAAAGAGGAGCCACGAAAACATTCCTACAACCTAGATGAAAGAGGAGAGTGTTCAAGGCCAAGGAAGGAGTTGGGATGGAGCACAGGCGGAGGCAACTTACTGATGAATTGGATGTGAAATTCAGAGAAGAGTCAAGGATGATGTCAAGTTTACTGGGTGAGAACAGGCTCAATTTTCTAAAGTTAAGCTACATTTATGTGACAGGTGAACATACCCAGAAAAGAGAGTTCTGGGGTTTGCCATGTATCTGTGCAATGAAATGCTATACATCAGTTTAAATAAACAAACTAGAGTTACATGCATCAAAACATACTGCAACAAAAATGATCTATTAACAGAAAGAAAGCAAAAGGACAAAGCCAAGCGAAGATATAATCCAAAGCACAAGTAGAAGGTTGGCCTTAGAAAGGAACAGAGAGAACATGTCCTCAGCATCAGAATAAAGTATGTAGAGTATGCGAGTACAGATGCAGCTAGGTGGATAGTTCTATGATGGAAAAATGAAGAAGCTCTTTATGATAAAAAGTTATTTTTTTCTTTTAAAAGTGAAGTTAGGCACAGTGGCACATGCTTATAATCCCAGCAGTTTAGGAGGCTGATGCAGGAGGATCACAAGTTCAAAGCCAGCCTTAGCAACTTAGCAAGTCCCCAAGCAACTCTGCAAGATCCTGTCTCTAAATAAAATATTTTTAAAAGGGGCTGGGGATATRACTCTCTAAGTAAGCTCCCCTAGGTTCAATCTCTGGTACCAAAAATAAATAAATAAGTAAAAGTGATGTGAGGGCAAGAGTAGAGAGATGGGTAGCCAGGAATTCTCAGGAGAAAGGACAGTAGAATTTTCTGTCAAATCTGATGCCCCTATGAGAGGCATAGTCCTTGCTTTGGAATGAGTAMAACCAGCAAGAAGCTAGCATGGATGAACCTCAAAATATTATACTAAGTAAAAGAAGTATTGTAGGATTCTATTTACATGAAACATTCAGAATAAATTCATAAAAATGGAATGCAGAGAGTTGGGCACGGTGATGCACACACCTGTAATCCTAGCAGCTTGGGAGGCTGAGGTAGGAGGATCACAAATTCAAAGCCAGCCTCAGCAACTCAGCAAGGCCCTAAGCAACTAAGTGAGACCCTGTCTCAAAATAAAGCAAAAAAAAAAAAAAAAAGGAGGGAGGGACTGGGGATGTGGCACAGTGGTGAAGCACTCCTGGGTTCAATCCCTGGAATCAACCAAACAAACAAACAAAAAATGTAATGCAGAGTGGTGGTTGCCAGAGGCTGAGAGTAGGAGGGAAAGCAGGTGGGACTGCTCAGTGAGTAAGAGGTTTTACTTTAGAGTGGTGGAAATATTTTGGAACCATATACAGGTGGTGATTGCACAACATTGTGAATACACTAAATGTCACTGACGTGTCCACTTTTAAAACAGTTGCTTTTATTTTTTAATGTACTTTTAAAAGAAGAAAAAGCTAAATTAAAACATTGAGTGGGAAGAGAGAGATGTGGCAAGATTGGCTTCCCGTCTCATACCTGAACTGCACACCTAATGAAAGGTGTGGTTTTGCTGTCCATATTTCTATATGTCTAAATATGTGTTCAAATTTCCCCTGCCCCTTTGCCATAATGATGTTAAGGGAGTAAGAGGACCTGTTGATATTTCATTAAATGCAACCAGTCCTTTCCTTAGGGTTATGAAGCTGAGCTTGTATTTGCCAAGGCAGAAAAATGTCAATGCAAGCATTTTGGAAATTAATCAAGATGACGTATTAGACTTCGGGTATTTCCTATGCAAGGTATTAGAAATTACAAGTAATCTAGAACATAAACATGGGCATCACAAGCCAGCCAGCTCAAAAAAGAAAACAAATACTCTGTCATTTGTCACTTTTTCAGACTCCTGAGGAAATGGAGCAAGAGCAGAAAATGAAAAGGATGAAGAAGAGAAAYAAAAGGATGCAGAAGAAGGGGAAGAAGCAGAGGTAGAGGAGGTATCCTAGGTAGGTAGTAGGAGGAGAAGGTGAAGGTGGAAGAGGAGGAGAAGGAGAATCTGCAGCAGCAGCAGCCGCTGGCACAGGGTAAGTGGGTGGGCTGCGATTAATCACATCTGGGATTTTGGCAGGTGATTCCCCAGAGGAGAGCATAGCAAGGTGGAGTGCTAATGGGGCAGGGTGACAGTGGCTATGGTGCTGTAGCCTGTGATCTCATCTGGACAGAGAGAAGGGATAAGTAGAAATAGTTTTTTTTTTTTTTWAAAAAAAGCCACTTCTTTTCTATGCAGCTAAGGGAGAAGTATTTGCCAGTATGTAACTACCCCAGAAGGAGACCCTTCACAACCTCCAGCTCCCAACTGCTTCCAAGATTGTCTACACCATTTGTTTTCAGTCATGATCATATGATGAGCACATGCTGGAGTAGAGGCTTATCCCTGATGTCTTGAAAAGCAGCGTGTATCCAGAAACTCGCCCTCATTTTTCCCACCCTCCTCTCCTCTTCCCATCAGCAGTACCTGCTGTGGCCCAGGCACCTCCCATGCGGGGAAAGGCAAGTCTCATCAACCACAGAGCAAATGCCTTGCCCATGCTGGGCAGCCAAACACGTCTTGAGTTTAAAGACAACACCATTTTCCAAATAATTAAAAGTAGGATAATAAACCACAGCTGCATGATGTTTTAAAATAAATCTAGCTAGTTTATATACGATGGTCATATCATTAATTTTTCTACATTAATAAATATATATTGAGGAAAAAACTGTATCTTACCAGCAATCCTCGTCTGTGAAGCAGAACAAGGCTCCCGGATGCGCTCCTTCTGTATACTGGGCACTTCTCTACATATCTATAGCATTGGGCCAAAGAGGAAGAGAATAAGACTATGTAAATAAAGATATACTATTTTCAAAAGAGAGTTATCTAAATGATGGCTTTGCCACTTCTCTCGGTCTTAACACCGAGGCTACTGTTTCCACCTTACTATCCGCCACCATCTTCCTTGAGTCTTTTTTTWAAATTAATTAATTTCTTTCTTCTAATTTGTTACACATGAAAACAGAATGGATTTCAATTCATAGTACACCAATGGAGAACAATTTTTCATTCCTCTGATTGCACACAAAGTAGAGTCACACCATTTGTGTCTTCCTATATGTACCTACGGTAATGATGTCCATCTCATTCCACCATCTTTCCTACCCCCATGTCCCCTCCTTTTCCCTCTCTCCACTTTGCCCTATCCAAAGTTCCTCCATTCCTCCCGTACTCCTCCCCCACCTCCCCATTATGGATCAGGATGGAATGGAACTACCATTTGACCCAGCTATCCCACTGCTTGGTTTATACCCAAAGGATTTAAAAACAGCATACTACAGTGATGCAGCCACATCAATGTTTATAAGCAGCTCAATTCACAATAGATAAATTGTGGAATCAACCTAGATGCCCTTCAATAGATGAATGGATAAAGAAACTGTGGTATATATATACAATGGAATATTACTCAGCATTAAAAGAGAATAAATCATGGCATTGCAGGTAAATGGATGGAATTGGAGAATATCATACTAAATAAAGTAAGCCAATCCCAAAAAAAACAAAGACTGAATATTTTCTCTGGTAAGTGGCTGCTTGAGTCTTTCACCCAATTGACATTACTTTCAAGAATGTCAACCTGTCCTTAAGTACTGTGACCCTCTTTCACCACTCAGACCGTCGGCCCCTCTGCCCATCTCTTGATTTCCATTAATACTTTAAATTCTGACTTTCATCTTATCTTTCTGAAATGCTTCTCCAAATTTCCTTCACCAGCTCATTTTCCTCTGTCCATTCATCTAATACCAACATTCCACAGGAAATTTTTTTGTTCTTACCTTTGACCTTGGACTCTTTCATCTGAGTCCTGGTTTCCAATGATTTAATTCATCATATGGAGTTTTCAGAAACTGAAGACTCCCAGTAACATAATTTCAGTTCAGCACCCTCTGTCACCTGGATGTTCAGACACATCCAAATCTGAATTCATTGTCACTATCTTTCCTGAAATTCCCTTTGTAAACTCCTCAAGATTCTAAGTGACCCTGGATATCAGTTTACTGGGTAAACCCATCCATCTCTACAGGGTAGCTGCAGTGATCTTTCAGAAAATTAACTTTCCTCCACTGAAAACTTACCCATAGGTGTCCATTTCCCTCAAAGCAGTGCATTGTTCTCAAGACTGAGCTCAAATTCTACAGAGTCCTGTGCATGGTGAGGCCTCATGATCTGGTCTCTGCAAGCATCTCTCAGCTTTACTGTCTACCAAGCCACATTCAGGACCCAAGTGCACCGTGCTCATTCCCAATCTCCTCCAGAACCTTTCACTTGCAGCTGCTCATCCCCACAATGCCCTTTGTTTCATTCTTAACCTGGTTATTAATTATTCATGCTTTGTAAATTAACTTGGATGTGATCTCCCCCACACCTTCTATCATTATCCCAAAGCCAGGTATGGGCTCCACCTATGGACTTTTCTCTTTTATTATTGCTTGTCTATCTGTCTCACCCACAAGCTCTCTGAGTAAGAAGCAATGCCATACTCTTTAATGTATTTCAAGTTTTTAAAAAGATGCCTGGTATAAAGAGGGAATCCAATAAAAACCTATTAAGTGAATAAAAGAAGAATGAATGAAATATTCCAGATTAGTGCTTCCTAAAGTGTTGAGATTCTTTGCACAATAAGCATTACTTGGTCTTAGACATTCATAATCCCCCAAAAGGAATTATACTAAGATCTATGCGAAGTCTTGCAATATTAGAAGTTTCAGGATATCTAACACGGTGTTCCCAAACTGATCACCACGACCTTGTCCACTGACAACCTTTGGGTTACATAAATACATGTGCTCTGACTAAATGTAGACTAAGCCTCACAAATGACATAGGAATCAATTGTCTGAAAAGGAGTAGGAGAGAGAGAATAGCAGATGATGTCAGAGATAACAGGAAGCCAGACCATGAGGGGCCTGGTAAATCACAGCAAGGAGTTTGGATTTTTATCAGAGTAAGATGGAAAGCCATTAGTGGACTTTAATCACAGGAGTTACTGGATCTGAATTACATCTTCACAAATCACTTGAGAAGAGACTGACAAAGGCAAGGGAGGAAGCAGGGAGACTAGGGATAGACCTCTGCAGTTACTAAGACAAGAGACAATGGTGACAGGAGATGAGTCCATAGCAATAGGGGCAGTGAGATGTGGTCAAATTTATAATATTCTTCAAACCTAAGAAAAAAGCTAAAAGAATTATATAGGAAATATATATGTGCTACCCATCATCTACGATTGTCAAATCCTGCTATATTTGCCTTATCAATAGCCATCTAGCCATCCATTAAATCATCCATCTAGTAAATGGGAGAAGCCAATGATGGTGACTCTGAGGTATTGTTTTGGGTTAGGGTTTTTTTTTGTGTGGGGGGGGGAGGTCTCCTTTGAGATATAATTCATATACACACCAAAAGATTGACAACAAGGTTTTGACTTCACCAATAATATGGTGGAACAGCCAATGACTGTCACATACATTAAAGGATGGGGGGGGGGGAGCCGGCAGGGAGTGGGAATCAGGAGCCCAATTTTGTGTGTGAGTTTAAGATTCTTATTAGGTGTCCAAGTGGAGATGTTCAGTAAGCAGCTGTATATGCAAATGTAAAGTACAGAGAGAGGTCCAGGCCAGAGATTAAGATGTGTGTATCATCAAAGCACTAACTCTCAATCACAGAGGCTACATCAATAAAGCACCAGCATCATCAGATACATGAAAATGGCTAGCATTTTAAGAGGATCAAAAAGAGAAGAAATGACTGACACGAAGCCCACACAAATGCAAAGTGAAAGCAGGGACATATCTTTTCAAAGTCCCATACAGATTGCATACACTAATATGGCATGTACCAGGCCACAGTTAAAAGAAATCTATAGCTTCATCAACCTTTAACAATTTCCACTGCAAACAAATAATGGTATGAGAACAGACACAAATCAATTGCTTTCCTATAGGCCAATAATGAATCTACTGAAAAAAAAATTAGGAAAACTATCCCATTTATAGTAACCTAAAAAAAAAAATAAAATATCTTGGAATTAATCTGATGAAGAATGTGAAGGACTGCTACAAAGAAAACTATAGAACATTGAAGAAAGAAATAAAAGAAGACCTTAGATGATGTAAAGACGTCCCATCTTGGATAGGCAGAATTAATATCATCAAAATGGCCATGCTACCAAAGGCATTATACAGATTCAGTGCAATTTCCATCAAAACATCAATGACAGCCTAGGAATAGTGGCACATGCCTGTAATCCCAGCGACTTAGGAAGCTGAGGCAGAAGGACTTCGAGTTCAAAGCCAGTCTCAGCAACATAACAAGGCCCTAAGTAATTTAGTGAGACGCTGACTCTAAATACATTATAAAAAGGGATGAGGATGTGGTTCAGTAGTTAAGCACCCCTGGGTTTAATCCCTGGTACCAGAAAACTAAACCAAACCAAACAAAACATACTAAGGACATTCTTCACAGAACTAAAAAAGCAGTACTAAAATTCATTTGGAAAAATAAGAGGCTCAGAATAGCCACAGTAATCCTGAGCTAAAAGAGCTATGCTGGAGGCATCAAAATGCCAGACTGGAAATTATACTACAGAGCCACAGTAACAAAACAGCATGACACTAGCACCAGAAAGATACGAAGAACAATGGAACAGAGAGAAGACACCAAGTCAAACCCACATAAATGCAGTTAGCTATACTAGATAAAAGTAACAAAAACATATGTTGGCAAAAAAAAAGGTAATCATTTTAATAAATGGTGCTGGGAAAACCAGATATCCATATGTAGAAGAATGAAGATAGATCCCTCTCTCTCACCCTGCACCAGAGTCAACTCAAAGTTGATTGAAGACCTAGAAATTAGACCAGAAACTCCCCAACTGCTAGAAGAATATGGAGGCCCAATACTCCAACACATCAGCATAGGAACCAACTTCCTTAAAATAACCCCTAAAATCACACCATCAAACTAAAAAGCTTTTGGAGAATCACACTGGCATTGGGGACAAGGACCAAGCATTTGGTATCTAATATGGCACCCCAGATGGGACCCAAGAACAGCCCCTGCTCCAGCTTTCTTGGGCAGGCCTGGCTCTCTAAGGAAACCCACTTCCATGCTGAGGATGCAAGGTGGCTGGAGAACTTGCTGAAAGCCAACTGCAGGGGAGTTACAAGATGGTTGAGTTTGCCTCAGATGAAACTGGAAGAGCTATTCCTGTGAGTAAAGGGAGGGACTAAGGGACCATCCCAGCAGCTGCTGAAGCTCCTTTTGCTTTGGGGAATTCCCACCTTCTCTCCCTGAATGGTACAATTTGCTCCATCATGGACCACTTTGAGAAAAAGGAAACTGAACTCTGTAAAGTCACAAAAACCCTTAGCCATCCAGTAAGTTCCCTAGTGTGCAGGCCAAGATCCTGATTCCTCTTCATGGGAACAGCTGATCCCTCTTGGTGGGGACACCTGTGGCCACACTGGTGTAGGAGTCCTGGTTAAGTAGGACTCCAGAACCTAGGGATGTGTGCTCCATACTGGTCTGTCCTAAGTTCTCATCTGTTTGTTGATCTTGGGCTTGGGAATTCCCTCTGGTTATCTCTCTCTGTTTTTGTTTTGTTTGTATCTGTTACAGCCCCTTTTTAAGAAATGGCCAATACTGCATTGATCCTATAGTAGTCTCTTACGAAGATCTTGGCTGATCATTTTAAAGGTTCCCATCTGTCAGGCATGGTTTTGGGGTTCCTCTCTAGTTGTCTGCGTG